CCAGCAATACCAAGCATGCGGCGCGCGTATGCCCGATTCGATTTTGTTACTCATCAGGATCTCTGCCAGTCTACCTTCAGATTGAAATTATTTTAGGCAGGATTAGAATAAATTAATCTATGAGACCTTTGGGCGTGGTAAAATACACCAATCGAAACGGTTTGACCTCCTGAGTCCAAAACTGTAATTAGATCTCAAATTGGTCAAGAGATGACGGAACTATGAGCTAAAAGTTTGCAGTAGAAAAATAACTCAGAGCCGCTATGCCACGGCTAAAAATATACGTTCAAAGCTAAACAAAAATCAATCAAATGTAGTTCTGTTATTACACTTTTTATTATATGCCCCTCAGCGGTAAGTGTGAAGGCTCACAACACTAAAAACCTGGTTCGATACCCGTGGGGAGCACGGCACAGATATCGCATTGTGTAGCTTTGCGCTTAAGAACAAACAAAAATATTAAGTAGATAGACCTTTCTGTAATTTTCAGAAATGAGATTACGTTAGTTTACCATGTGAGACAATGAATTTATTCCTGAAAACTTGGTCACTGGGACAAACAACGTGATTTGGCAATTCCGTTTTTGGAAGTTTATACAATATACTCCATGAAAATAATGCTCTATATCAATTCCTATGTATTCTATTCATGTTTGCAAAATATTTGTTCTGGAAATTTCAATCGGCAATATGGATTCCAAAAAGAATTTGAGTTTTTCACGGTGTGACATAATTTCAGTAGCAATTAATGGAAACCGTATTGGACAAAGACCAACGATGGGATTCATAGCACACACATGCTTCGTTCCAACCAAATCGCTGCATGAACTTTAAAAAAAAAAGGCCTTGTGTAAAGACAACGCTCGCAATGAGGTGGCAGTTTTTCTATTCTGTCCTGGTTTTTCTGTGCCCTGGGCAACGCCCTCTATTTAGAGCAGTGTGTCCGGGTGAGACTGCAGAGGCCGCTGCACTTGACCGACTAGTATTATGATGCTGAGCTGTAGGTGACCCACTTTACTTCCAGCTGATCACGTGGGTTTTTTTTTCTAGTGTACTGGCCAGTTGTTAATGCATACACTCGAGGTGCGGGAAAAGGTACAGTAGTATCCATGTTCATCACCAAACTTCCAGGAGAAATCATTGGTCAGTGGGAAGCAGGTAGGTGTTTTTTATATATTTGTAGATGGTCATTCTGAGACAGCATTCGTTTCGTATATTAATCTCTGGCTGGTATTATTGAATAAACCATTCTAACATTAGACCAAAACTGAATTCGTTTACCTGTTCTGCTCATAACAACACGTGTACGTTTTCAAAGTTCATTTTAACGTAAGCAAAACAAATGCAAATTATTGTGAATCTGGACTTAAACGAAGAAAAATAATCAAACTCTGTTCTAGCTTGTACGAGTATGGAATCTTCCATTTAAACTAAGACTGTAAATTATAAATTATCAATATTCATTGAATAAAATAAACTGGTTTAAACTGCAAGAAAACGTTTTGTAAAATACCGAACTTCAGTCAAATACTTTTAGTTTATACAAAGTGTACTTCTTCGTAAAACGAACAAGAAAATCTAGTTTATTGTTAATCAAGTAGAATCTTGTACAAGTTTTGATGAGATGTAACAAACTCGCGGTAGTTATTGCACGAAGTTCGTTTTTCAATGAGCAGGATAAATATTAGGGCTCATCTCTTGTCGTAAAATATCGCGTATTTGCTTGCCACACAATGAGAGATAAGTTTGATCCGGATTTATTCCATCCCAGCGATTGTTTGTTTGTTTGTTTGCAATTAAGCATAAAGCTACACAACGGGCTATCTGTGCTCTGCCTACCATGGGTATCGAAACCCGGATATTGTGACGGTGAATCCTACTATTCGTTGGTAAAAGAGTAGCTCAAGAATTGGCGGTGGGTGGTGATGACTAGCTGCCTTCCCTCTAGTCTTACGCTGCTAAATTAGGGACGGGTAGCGCGAAATTAAAAAAAAAATGCTGGACTTTTTACGATACACATTTTGATTAGTTGTTTATGAAATTAATTTTTTTGTCAATTTAGAAAATATTTAACATGTATTTAATATATACTAATAGTGAGTATACTACTCGAGAGTTATCTGTCCCTAATTTAGTAGTGATTGACTAGAGGGATAGTAGCTAGTCAACACCACCAACCGCCAACTTTTGGGCTCCTCTTTTTTACCAACGAATAGTGGAGTTGACAGTCACATTATAATGCCTCCACGGCTGAAAGGTCGAGCATACTCGGTGAGGGGGTTCGAACCCGCGACCCGCAGAGCACCATAACCACCAGGCCATGTTTGGTACGTAGTGTTGGTATCGTTACAATATTTAGTGATTCGAAAGTTCTTCTGAATGATGAGTAGGTTAATTCAAGTAAAATAAACGTATAATAACAACAAACCATTTGACGTTAGAATAAATAAATAACATTGTGTTAACAAATATTTACCCTAATTATGATGTGTGGTAACATAAATAAAATTAATAAAAAATTACACGTAACAGACTTAACCTCAACTACTATTTTATCTGTCGTATGTCAATCAGGCTGAAGAGCCTTGAGATTGGGCAAAAGGCATCGTCAGCATTGGCTATAGTAGATACAGTGTTGTTGAGATCTTATTGTTCATTCTTCTTTACTTTCACTTAGAAGTTCTTATAATGACATTTGCAGCTACACATACTACTGGAACCCAAAATAAATATAATTTCTTTATAATTAACTCAGGGTTAGAAGCTTATCTATTAGAAACTTTTATTTATATATTAATCACATTACTTTTCCCAACAGTAATCAATAGTTATTATCCACAGGTTTATCTGAAAAGCATCTTTCTGCTTCATAAAAATTTAAATTCTTGTAAAATAAAAAATGTACTCAGTAAATTACTAGTAGCTATAAAGTCACCATAAAGGGAGTGAATGGCCATAATTCCAGTACCTCAGTAACACAGTGGTATCAAATTCGATGACGAGGAACCCACTTTGAGACTAATAATGGCTGGAGACG